CCAATTTTTTTCTGAAAGCTTGATTTTGTATAAAACATCTGAAATTTGTCTGCCTCAAAAGAAAATGATATATGACCCTGGCTGGTGTGGCTCAGTGGATTGAGTGCTGGCCTATGAAGCAAGGGGTCCCTGGTTCAATTCCCAGTTAAGGCACATGCCTGGGTTGTGGACTAGGTCCCCAGTAGGGGGTGCGAGAGGGCTTATTAGAACATTATTGACTCTATTCACTGATGTTTCTCCTCATCTCTCCCTCCCTTCCTCTCTGGAAATAAAAATAAAATCCATTAAAAAATAAAGTACAATTTAAAAGAAAATGATACGTGATAAAGACAAAAAAATTTTCAGAGCTATACCAAGAAAATTCAGTTTCTTTTTATGACAAACATCTCTTTTATATGTTCAAATAAACATAGAGAATTCAGAAACTAAACATATTCTCTCTGGATTTCATTATATGTGTATTTTTATATTGTAAATTACACCATCTCTCCTTATACATTGTGCAGATTTTGTCACTGGATGGGAAAAATTTTTGGAGGAATATTTAAGCCAACACTAAATTAAAATTGTAAGGCACATTTGGGACAAATCTGAAAAATGAAGAATCTCAAACCTATATTGATATTATTTTGAAGTATTGTATTGATTTCATATTGTAAGAATCATCCTAATAATTACTTAAGTTTTAAATGGTTTTTAATCATGACTACTTTTTAGAATAACTTTAAATTCATTATATCTACAAAAGGTTGTTTACCTTAATACAAACATTATGGTCTCTTTTTTCTACTATAATTCCCCTGTATTATAAACTTTGAAAACGTAAGACATATTTTGGACTATTTTGAATGGACTATGCAACTAAAACGCATCTGAAGGAAGGGATCTCTTTTCCATTTCCCACCAGAACCTAGCGCTTAGTTAGTGGAATCCCTAAACGGACAACAGATTTGTTGCATAATCACCTCAAACACAAAAGATTTCGGGTCTGACTCAAGAATCCATAATATTCTTTAAAAATGATCTTTTAGAGATTGATCACTCAAACATATTTATATTTTCCAACCTATATGCACCTTATAAGTGCTTAATTTGATTTGTTCCCAAACAGGCCTTTTGAAGATAACTTCATATCATATAGTTACATATCTTTTAGGAAGGATGATGATTATCTAAAACAAATTTTCTGAAACTGCACTCAAGAACATTATACAGATGTCCCTACAAAAAGGCATCCCAGAATGAAATACCTTCGGCATATATTGGAATAAGGATGAGCCCTAGGAACAATAATGTGCACTGTGGACCACTAACAGGGAAGTGCAGTAAGCAGTGTTTGGAAAACATTACATAGGTTATACATTAGGCTGTCACGTCTCATTTCAGATATACTTCTCAACATTTCCTTGGTTCGTACTATACTTGGATAGAGGCAATCAAAACAATACATGATATTTTAAGCAACTATGTAGTATGGCTTTATATATATAATACAGATAAGATCATGTCATATGGTTTCCTTCTGTAGTCCGTTATGAGAATACGGGATACCTGGTTGACTTTAGGGTATTGAACATTGTTTTGGTGAATTCTGTAATAACTTCCAAATCTTTTTCCTGATTTCCAGAGTAAAATTAACCCAAGGCAATGTACAATAAAACACTGTTGGTATCACAGGGTGATGAGCAAAGACATACAGGGAACCAGAATATAAAAATATGTTTTTTAAGATTTTATTTACTTATTTTTAGAAGGAAGGGAAGGGAGAGGGGAAGAGGGAGAGAAACATCAGCGTGTGGTTGCCTCTTGTGCATCTCCCACTGGGGGTCTGGCCTGCAACCCAGGCATGTGCCGTGACTGGGAATTGAACCAGCAACTCTTTGGTTTGCAGGCTGGTGCTCAATCCACTGAGCCACAGCAGCCAGGGCTATGTTTTAAACTCTTAAATAGATTATAATCTCACTAGATATGTGGCCTATATATTATACATTACTGTAGTCTTGGAAAATAATGAAGTCCTTACATATTATAGGGACTCAAAAGTCTCCTGCTATTTAACTATGACATATAAATATGTTCTATCATAATTGATCTGACTTGTTCATCTTTTAACTATGAACTTGAATAATAAGAATTTTAAAACCTATGTAGATTGTAGTTACTAGAAAGACAAAAAGAAAGTGTTGAAGAGCAGTAGTAAGTATATTGAGAGTCATGATTCGTCACAGCATTGGCTATAAGAACAGGAAATACCGACGGCTGAATAGCCCGCAGCCCTGTTATTCCTCAGTGAGTCACAGTATTTTTACAGTGATGTCACTTTGTTCTGCTTTTTTTTTTTTCTTTTCATGCCAAACTCTCCTCTCAGGTTTTTAACCACAGGGTTGATGATGGATGCAAAATCATTCTGCGTGTGTACACGTGTTTGCCTGTAAGGCTGTTTAAGGAGAATGTATGTGAAAAGAACTTAGTTCTGCATCAGGAGAAAGATCTGCCTCTTGCCACATCTCATTCTTTCCTCCTAAGTATTCTAAAAAATGGAATATGTGCCAAATGTGGAAAATCACTGACCTAAAATAACAAGAAACTTACTAACGTAACAACAGTAATATCTTTAGCCATTAGGTTTAGTGCCTAACTTATATAATCCACATATATGAGATAAGAATGATTTTAGTTCATATGTGTTATAAACTATGGAGAAGAAGGGAAGCTAAAAACACTGGAATGCCCCGAGAAAATGGATTTTTAATTAAGAAACTTATTTGTACCATTTTTAGGTATACCCCTTTCTCCACCACCTTCACTAAATAAGAAAAGTTATATGACTCAAGGAGGCAAACAATCCTCTATCTTTTATTTCTTGTCCTGGTGCAATTGTAACTAGTGTTGGTTTGTTAAATGGCATTTTCCCCAGAAGTGACATTGGCTCCAAGCACCAATGCTGTTTCTTCTGATCCCCTTCCTATAAAATTAGTTAGTGTTTGCTGAGGTGCCTAATGTTTCTCTTTTCTTTGACTTTTTTCCTCAAAAATCACATAGCCAAAATTTCCCCCAAAGTAAAAATCAGAAGAATCCTCTTCTCTTGAAATTTTAAGAGAAAGACAATGGCCCTGCAAATTATTTTTGCAATTAGCTAATAATATGACTTCGATACAGTAGTAATACTTTATAGCATAGGAGTTTATTTAAGGTACTTGGCTCTCTTATGAACAAAAAGAAAAATCACTTCAAGAAGTATTGGTTTACAGTTATTTTAGTAAATTTTTTATAGTAATTAAAAGTGGAGAAGTCCTGTTTAAGCCCCATGTATCGATATTCTTTTAAATAAAATAGGTTTTGAAATATACTAACTTGTATTTCTTTTTTTAAAAATTTTTATTTAGTTATTTTTCAAGTACATTTTTTGTCTATTCCTCCCATCCCAGCCCCCCCACTCTGTCTCCCCCCTCTCTCCCATCCCCCCCCCCCAGTCCTCATCCCTGTGTCTTTCATACTTGTTCCTCAAAATCCCTCCCCATTTTTCCCCTTAAATTCCCTTCCCTCTCCCCTCTGGTCACTGTCCACTTGTTCTCTATTTCAGTGTCTTTGTTTTTATTCTGCTTGCTTGTTTGTTTTGTTGTTTAGCTTCCTGTCAAAGGTGAGATCATATGGTATTTGTCCTTCAATGCCTGGCCTATTTCACTCAGCATAATGCTTTCCAGTTCCATCCATGTTGTTGCAAAGGGTAGTAGCTCCTTCTTTCTCTCTGCTGCATAGAATTCCATTGTGTATATGTGCCACAATTTTTTGATCCATTCGTTTACTGATGGGCACCTAGGTTGCTGTAAGTATTTCAATAAAAAGGAATTTTTACCTTTGATCCTAGGCAACTCAATAAGGCTACGTTCTTTAGCTTTTTCAATTTTCTTAAAATCTAGAGAACTTAATATTCTATTAGGACCAGATGCTTAGAAATTAAAAATAAAGATAAAATATATTCTATTAATATTTTTATCAGTTGAAATTGCTCATGTGGATTATTAAAGTATGACATTGTTAATGAACAGTAAGATGATGACTCTCAATTTTCTTCAACAGATGAGCTAGTTGCAGGGAACCCAGGAAGAAGGAATGTTTCCGAACACATTCTACTGCACATCATGAAAACGGGTGATAACGTTAGATTTCCAGAGTATTAGGAATGCAACTGCTCGGATTTTGAACATTTGTATTTCTTGGTCTTTTCATCAAACCCCAAATTCTATCAATGAAACTTCTGTTTCCATAAACTAGTTAAGAACGAATATAAAGCAGCCTCAGTGAGCCTGCTTTACCGAATTAGGGTGGCACTTGGTCCTGTGGTCTTTTCCCTTCCAGCAGGTACTTGCCTTGTAAGGACGCGAGAGCACCACTGGTGACTTAAACAACATGTACATTTTTTAGAGCTTGCATAATGTAAACTTTCTTATCATATCCACTCATACCTACCCTGAAAGCCGACCAACTGCAAATTACAGCCCATGGAGAAAATGCAGCAGGTTTCTTGTTTTATTTTATAAATAGAATTTTATTGGGACATAGCCACACTCACTTGTTTACATAGTGTTCACATACAGTGACGTTGCTGAATAGCTCTGACAGTGTTCCGCAGAGCCTGAAATATTTACTAGATATCTCTTCACAGAAAAAGCTTTCTGACACTGGAGTAAAGGATGCTCTCTGGATTTAATCATATCAGAAGGAAATTCCTGCCACTGTGACTGAGCGACCTCTAAGATTATGACTGTTTCCAGCTATATGTTACAGTAGACAGCACCACACTGTCTACTGGGGATACTACACAATAGTTTATAAATGTTCAACTCACTCCCTTCTCAGTCACTTTAATTAAAATGTTAGTGTTTCTGTTTTCTGTTACCTGACCTAGACAGTATTTTTGCAAGAACATTCGGCAAGGTGGCTCCACCTGCATACCGTGGACAAAGACCGAGTTTATAGAGACAGTACCGCCGACTCACCTGATTCTACCCCTGGGGCGCTCAGATTGCTCTGACATAAAGCTTGTGCTGCTGAGGCGGGAGGCACTGCTGGTTCTGGAAATGGCGGACACATCACTGACATCACTATCTGATGATTTGGCAGAGACGTTATCACAGCTTCTGTACTGATCTTTATGTATGTTATACTAAAGATTAAAAACAAGAAAGTGTGAGCTCCATCATCAGATTGTGGAAAAAGGAGACATACACAGTGAGGATAATGACTACTTAGGCAACATCAAATACAAATGTACCTTTGTGAAAGTAGGTGTGGAATCTAAAACAATCCAAATGTTAACGTAATATATGATTTCCAATGTAAAACTCTTACATCCTTTGAATGGTAAGGAATGGTTTTTGGAGACTGAATTATAAATTAAACATAAAAATTAAATGTCTGGGTGGAGAATTCACTGAATCATTTGCATGTACCTAAAACTTCAAAATTGTATTATTTTTTCTAGTACACCATTTTCTCTTTTCTTGCTTTTGTTTTCATGATTCCTCATTCACCTTCTACTCCATCCATGGTGTGGCCTGCTTCCATCTGTTTGTGCTTCTGGGTTCTTTCTAGAACTATTTAGTTCACTCACATCTCTCCCACTCTACAACACTGCCTTGGATCAAACTTCTTAAAAAATATCTCTCTTTACAAAAAATGGTTGATATTAAAACTGAGTGGCTGTGCCAAAGAGCAAAGCAATGGCAGCAAAGACTGGACTTTGTCTTGAAACTATCTGTTATGAGTTAATTTGACATTTTCATGTTTAAACTATCAACTCAGTGTTAAAAATAAAAAATGGGACTCCTATTAAAATTTCAATATACACTATAGCTTATATTTAAATGTGTTCATATTTGTCTTTGATACTTGTTATATAAGATTTTAGAATCATTGGGAGAAAGATTAAAACATGCAAAGCTGTCAAAGCAGTTAATCTGCTCTCCTGGTCACCATTTTATTGTGACCGATCGCACAGTGAAAACTTTATATGTTACTATGTGTTCTATTTATAAAATAATAAGTTTAGGTAATTACATATAATTTTATAAGCCCTATTGTATAAGTCCTCTTATCTTAGGTCCTAGGAGGTAAGACAACTTGTTACGTAAGAGAAAAGAACACATAGGTAAAATAAACACATGATTAATCACTGAGTATTTAAGTTTCTTATCAAGTGACTGAGTTTTAGATTTATGTGTTAGGGTATGAAAACAGGAAATGTCTGTTAAGCCTGTAGAAAAATTTATCCACTCTTTGATGCTCTATATTAGATGAGTTTTAATAAATCTAAAGTAATCCAAATACTCTACTTCTAAAAATTTATATAGACAATTTGTCCCTCTAAAGAACATGAAATAAACTGATGCTAAAACCTGGACCTATATATACAAAAAGAAGTATAACACAATATTTAAAGAAAATTCTAGAGAAGGGAATCATGTTTATTTAACATGACTTAACAACAGCTGAGAGTAGTTTAGGCCTAAGGTATTTAAATGTTAGTTTCAATTCTTCATCTCTCATGTATATGTAATGGGCATAAAAACAATTCCAAATTTATATAATACCTATAAAATTATCTTTCCTAAGATTTTTTTAACTGCATAATTTTTTGATAGGCATATGTATACTCCAAAAGGAAATTAATATATGTTTTGTCCAGAATTGAGCTATTTCTACAACTTTGGGCATGATCTGAAAGTAATATGATTTAAGATAATGTATTTGAAGTAATGGGAAAATGTTTATCACCAAATTCTGCCATATCTGATAGCATGATCCTGACCAGCATGACTTATTTCAGTCAGAACTGTCTTTTCTTAATATACAGAGATGTGGTAGAGCCCTAATATGCTTACACAGGAGAACCTGATTTTAACACTGCTACTGGACTATACATATAACTCATATTCTTTGTTTTGGAAACTATAGTGTTGCTAAGTAGATATGTCATGTAATTATTACAGTGCTTGCAATCATATTGAAATGATAGCTTGTCCATGGCAGAATAGAAGAACTGGGTTCCAATACCACATGAATTTACCCCACAGCAGCAGGTGTTCTGGCATTGCAGTGACACCCCGAACACACGCTCCCCTTACCTGACAAACGTCAATGTCAGCAGCAGAGACTATAGCACAGGATAAAGGAGTGCACATGAACTATTTATCCAGCTAAAGAACTTTTCCTTTTCTACAAGCCATTTCTTCCTTTACCTTTTGTATATATCTTTTGATATTCCAGCAGATAGATAAAAAGACAGATTTTTAAAAAAATTGTAGGTTATACTAAATTTTTCTATATTGGGGTAAAGAATGATCTATTATTCTGACATGACATTACAGTTTACCTTGATTATTTGAAGAAATGATATATTCTTTTATATTCACTTCCTACTGCTATATTTAGCAGTGAAAATCGATTAAAAGTTTAAACAATTGGCATTTTATCAAGCACAGTTTGTTAAATTTCCTATTTAAAATTAAATAATTGAATGGAAATACATTAACTATATTTTGGGAAACAATATCTTCAGGAGGAATGTATACTGATCAAGCAGCAGGGAAATACATCCTTGGTGTGGGGGAGGTTTTAACTGTAGTGCTGTTATTTTTACACATAATAAACATTCAGCAGCTACCTACAATGCGCATTACATCGGTCTGGGTTGCTGTTCCTGGTTTACAGAAACATAAACACTTTTTAAAATGTGAGTTCCTAAATGCAAATTCACCTTCCAGTTATAAATTTCACCCCATCATTAAGGCATGCATCTCTGTGTAGCATCAGTGAGGAAAACAGCACGGTGTCACATGTCCGTGATGCCAGAGTAGTTTTGTGCTTTTTTCAAAAGCAAAGTCAGTGCTCATTCCTTACTCAGGATGAATGTTAGGGTCAGTCAGTCTTTTAAAGGTGGTGCCAGATTTGAAACATCTTAGCGACATTTGTTTGGTAATTCTTTGCCCTGAAGAAAATTTAGGTCTACTGGTGTTTAGTTATAAATATTTTGAGAACGATAACATAATTTCTAAGTTGGCAGAATTTCAACTAAGGGGTATTGCTTTATCCAAAATGTCAAATAATGTAAGATGCTAAAAAAAGAATAAAGGGATATGGTTTAAAATTAAATGTATATTAAATTTACAACAATGCTAGTTCTTGTTTATGTGAATAAATATGTATTTTGGTAAATTATAAAAAGGCAGGAGTTAGGGGATAAAAAATGAAAAAGATAATTTCTCAAGTATATGAAAGAGACTTGAGGTAATTGGAAACTAGAAATTTTATTGTAAGCATTAGGCCATAATATATTAGAATTGTGAAGAATATTTATCTTTTACTTGATATATAAAATAAAAAGCTAATCATTTGTTATTTTATCTTATATATTTTTACTATTCTGTATTTTTATAAGCTTAAAGATATATATTTGATCTCACATTGATTGATAAAATTTACTCATTTTATTTATGTAATAGCCTCAATTTATGCAGTAAGAACAACAGTAACATATTTAAAAGTAACATTTTTAAAAAATTCAGATAAGAGGAAAAGAAATGCCCGTGTAAAAAAAAAGAAAAATGAGAATGTGACAATTAAACTGTATGCAAACTGAAAGCTGCAGCGAGCCTCTAAACGAGTCATGCTGGAGCACAGTCCATAGCTCAGTGATGGAAAAGCCCAACAAAGTGGCACCTAAGTTCCTATCAGGAGTTCTGGGCTCATCACCCCACAGAAAGGCTTTACTAATCCTGGTAAAGGCCCACGTTCTTCTGATCCTCATACATTTGGTAAGCAAAAGAGCTGGAACAGAAAATTATCCTGGAGTAATTTTAGGTTCTAAATTACTATGAGCCAGAGGACTTGGAATCTCCCAAGCCAGATAAGCCTCCTTTTGATTTATTATGAATGTAATGGATTAGTGATCATTTGGCTCCTAGGGCACTTCATTTTGTAGATTGTTTTGATCAACTGATTAATGATTTGAGTCCTAGTTCATTATACTGCAGAAAGGCTTTTGGTATTTTACCCTGATTCTTTAATTATCTCTTACTTGCTTCCCATAAATAGCTTCCTGGCTATTGTATTTGACCTCATCTTTTGACATAATTCTAAGAAGTTGGCAAAGCATTTCCTGGTTTAATGAAGATTTTCCAGTGTAAAGAACGTTTCTGAATAACTGCATCCAATTGTGGAGAAAGAAACCATAAATTACCCTTCCTTCTAATTCTTAGTTCATTTGTAGTAAAAGAAAGAAAACAAAAATGATAATGATATCTATAAAGAAGACAGGCAAGCTGATTAAGTAAGTGGTGATACCACACAGAAAAAAACCACAAAGGATACACGTGTAGCTGGAATCAGCAACTGTATAAAACATCAAGATATTGTACTATTTTTTTTCCTTTACTCCTTTCACTTTGTAAAATGCTGTGTCAGAGCCCCAGGGAACTGAGTCACTGATCACAGCGACCACAAGCATCGTCTCTGTTGGAAATCCTTCAGCAGCTAACCTAAAATGTAAAGTGACAAACTGCACCTAACACAAACTCTGGGGCAGCCCAGGGTTGATCATAGTTGGCAACCACCTCTACTTTTTGTATAAGTTTCTGAACATCTGGCTCTGTAATGGCCAACCTCCATAATTTAAATATAAGTAAGTTCTTTCACCCTTCCTCTCATCCCCTTTCTCCTTGGTAACCATGGTTTAGTCTCTATATCTGTAAACATGTTTCTGTTTTGTTTGATCATTTTTTTTTGTTTTCACATATAAGTGAAATCATATTGTATTTGCCCTTCTATGTCTGAGTTATTTCAGTTATCATAATACCCTCTAAGCCCATCCATGTTGTCACAAAAGGCAAGATTCCATTCTTTTATATGGCTGAGTCATATTTCACTATGCATCAGTCCTACATCATTTGTCTATATTTCCATCTATCAGTGGACCCCTGGGGTGCTTCCATATATTGGCTATTGTAAATAATACTGTGATGATAAGATGGGTACATACATATTTTGGGGGAATATGGTCAGTAATATCCTAACAACTTTGTACAATGTCAGATGGTTTCCAGACATTGTGGTGATCACTTTGTGAGATATTTAAATGTTAAATAACTATGCTGCCCACCTGAAAGTATTATAATATTGTATGGTAACTATATTTTAATAAATACAAATAGATTTTTCTAGGTTCATATTTCAAGCTAATAATATTGATTTAGTATAGCGTTATTTAATTTTGAATTTCTAAAAGGTCATTACCTCCAAAAGGGCTTCTTGATATCAAATTATAACACAGGTTTTCCTGTAATGGCTGATGCCACTTTTGTAGTATTCTAAAAAAATTTTTAATAAACCAGATAATATATATGCTATTTCATGAAGTATGAAGTATAAACTTCTATGCATATATTAATTAAAACTATTAGATGATGTTTAGCAGATTATAAATTCCTTAGTGTAGTGTTAACAAATTAATATTGAAGTATAAGTTAAATGTTTATTGGCACATGGAATTTCCATGGATTTCAGTTTCTAAGAGTTTGAAATTGGCATCTTATCTCACTAAAGACAGAGCAATAAGAAATCTCAAATCACATGATTTCAGTCATTCAGTAACAAATCTGAATAGTATATTTCAACCAAAAATGGCACTTAATACTAAAAATATGTAACTTAATATTTAAATGTAATATTAAATGGTATTCAATCAGTAAAATGGCTTTATCTATCTTATTTATGTGAATTTGATTATGGATAATTGATCATTAAGTGACTTTGGTTTATTTAACATTTTTACGGAATTTGCTGGGATGACACTAATAAAATGAAACAGATTTAAGGTGCACAGTTCTATAATACATCATCTGTATATTGCATTGCATTTCACCACCCCAAGTCGAGTCTCCCATCACCATTTATTCACCCTTTACACCTCTTCTACCTGCTCCACCCACTCTTTCCCTCTGTCAATCACCATACTGTTGTCTGTGACTTTAATATCAAGTAGTTTTAATTCCTTTTTAGAAAAAAATTACATCCAAATTAGTAAAGTTGTATCTTGTGAAAATAGCAAGAGAAGAGAGGTAATGTTGCAAGACTAGCATTTGCATGACTCCTCTTATATATCTCGCTGCTTGCTAGTCCTACCTGGTATACACACTGCACATTTATAAAAAAGAGGCTATTGGTTGGGTATTAACTAGTTTTACCTTGGAATATTGCTCGCGATCAAGTTCTTGACTAGAACCAGACCCTGTTGTCTGCTTAAATCGATGCACTTTCATTTTCATCTGTCTCGTTCGCTCCTCCACTACTAAGCTTGCTGCAAAAACACACAATGGAAGCCTATTAACACATTCGAAGCGCCTTTTAGAAAGTGAATGGTTTAAGATTTTAATGCTTTTGACATGACTTTAATTAAATGGAATTTAGAAATAACATGATTAGTACATTGAACAAAATGTAGAATATGCAATGCTAGCAATGCTAATGTAAAAAAGAACATGACTCAACTCACACAGAATGGGGAACAAAAATATTAGTAACAAAATACCCTATTGCTTCATCTGATACGAAATATTTTTAATTCCATTCATAAACGACCATGTGAAACAAAATTTAATTGTGAAAATGTTTAATATTTAATCCATTGGTTGTGGTATGTGCATATGTAGAGAAAACAAATATGCACACTGAACACTCCACACACACACACGCACGTGCTCACATGCGTGCACACACCCATTGCACCTCCTCATCTAAGAGTCACCTACAAAATGCTTTAATTGAGAAGAATCTGCTTCTACCAGGTGTAGTCTTATTAACTTATTAATTTCTATTGGTAGCTTTTCTTAAACATTTGCCAGTCTTAAAATTGAACAAAGAGAAAAGATTAGTTTTCTATTTCTGATGGTTATGTCTGACCACATATATAAAATTAGTAAGTTTAAAAATGTGATATAAAAATTTTGGCTCTGTAATTTATAATATGTGAAAATATATTTCGTTTAAGCCTGTTAACCTCTTAAGTTGTAGGTGAGACTGTTTAGATAGGAATAATTATAGCCTTCAATAAAATTGTTATTTTAAGTCAGAATCCATCATAAGTGGCTAAGTTTCAAGACCCTGCCTATAATGTTTACACTGTCACAGACAAGGAAGAAAGAGCTCAGGGCGCAGTGGAATGCAGAGTCGGCCCCAGACGCGCACCTGTGCTGGGTGATGCCTATGTTGACATTCTGACAGCTTCTCTTTTGCCAGTTTCCTCGCCTATTCAACCTCTTCAAATGCTAAGATTTATTTCTAAATTGTGTATATACACATGTACATGAAAAAATTCTGTTGTAATTAATGTACTGGGCTGTCCACAAAAAAGAATGATTTATTTCTTTAATGATTTACAGGATAATGGAAAATTGATATATCTGATTGGCTTGACTGCCGATTCTATCTCTTGCAAGAAGTTTATAAAAACACTGGACAAATTTTTTCATTGCAATGATTAAACAGGGCCTATTATCCTTCACAATGGAAGCTGACACCCATTTTCAAAATTAAATAAATATGTAGCTTTTATTGTGTGTTCAAGTACAGACTAAATGTTCAAATTATACTTTTACCTCCAAATATTAGAAGTTTAGCTTTGTTTAAATTCAATAAATTAGACAGATAATGATCAATCCCTAACATCAGTTATGCGAATTAAGCAATGACACATACTTGCTTTGAAAATGTTGACTTCAGAGACAGTAAATATTAACTATTAATGATTAAAGGATGGGTCAATGAGATCTTAAGAAAAGCAGTTCAGAAATTTGTTACTTACTATGTAACATATAAGGAACCACAATGAATATTGTAAAGCAAAATGTTAATTGGGAGTAATAAGAAATTGAGACAAAGTTATTGAAAAATGTGTTATATTTATAGAAAGCTATATGCAACATGTTCTTACAATATATACAAATACCTGTTCTCTGCCTTCTGCCTACAGTGTGGGTACTTTTGGGGCACTTGCTCAGTCTTTGAGCTTTGAAGAAGTCAAATGAACTGTGATAATCAGTTGTACTTTATAATTAAAGCTAAAGCAATTCGAAGCAATCTCTAGTTGGTATAAAAACAGATTTAAATGACATTGGCTCAATTTTCTCACCAAATGATATTAATTTTATTTGAGCAGCTTTTTAACATCCATCCACTCTTAACTTTGTAACCTTCACGTTAAGCGTTAGGCACCAGGTAATTCTCAGGGAGGGCGGTGACTTGACACTAAAGAGATGATTTGCACAGAGCTTCTGACCTGACTGGTCTGAAACCGCTCTGGCGCTTCTGGCCAGCTGGCTTGGCTGGGATGATACCCCTCCCTCTAAATAGGAGTATTTAGTTCAGGGCACAGCAGCACTAAATCTTTACTTTACAAAACACAAAATAATTCATGAAAAGGGAGTGGTAGCCTAGCTAAAATCGCTTCTGTCTTCAAACCACACACAAGAATAACTCTGACTGGAACATGCAGGTGGGAAAAGTAAATACAATTTTAAAAGTCTGATTTATTACAGTTGTCTAATGGAAAGCAGTAGATATTATTAAAATAAAGGCAGATTAAAATAATTCTTTTTTTCATGCCACATGCTTTGCTATATGAATTCCTAATCTACTGATGTGGTAGAACATTGATGAATCTACAACCATGCAAAAATCATTTATAAATGTTGTTTATGCCTATAAGGGTTTGTCTGTTATCTACTCCTTAATAAGATTATTAAAGAATCCTGTGACCACTTAAAGTTCTTCAATAAATCTTCTCTAACCCATCACAGAAAAATTTCCATAGAATCACCTCTTTCAAGGAGAATGCAATTTTCTGGAAAAGAAACTCATTTGACTTATCAGTCATTTGTAATTTGCTTTAAAATATCAATGTTATAGGTATAGATGCTTTCTGATCACTATAAACTTTAACCTTTCATATATATATTTAAAGTACTAATCATGAATTTGCAATTATATAAAGATGAAGTTGGTCTGATCTTCAAATTTCTTAAGTATTTCACAATTCTTCCTCTGCATCTAAATTAACATGAAATTGAAATTTCAAATGTTTGTGCTTATCGGCAAAAAAAAAATCCATACATTACACTGTTAAACTTTCCAATTTTCAAGTATTTTAGGTGAAATATGATTGTAAAAGAAAACATAAAAATTTCTATATGATTAAATATATTAAGGTAAAACAGTATTTTATAACAAGGTTAGCTAGTACATATGACCAAAGTAATGCATGATAAAATCTGGATGGAATAATTAAGTTCGTCCAGTTAATTACAATATGCTGTCATGCAGTGTGAGTAGGAAAATTAACTCCTGTTTCCGGGCTGTAGAGGAAGACGCCAAAGCCCAGTGATAGTGGAGCCTCATCTTCCCTCAATGCGTGACTCAGAAACAGCAGTGACAAATAACCAGTTCTCTGGACATTGTCAGGCAGAATGAAATGTATGAGTGAAACACCTAAAATGCCTTAATTATTGACAGCATTGAAAAAAAGCCCCTGTCTGAAGCACTTTATTTTAAAAAGTCACTTATAGGGGAACTCAAATATAAGAAACAATATGAAACACCGAGATTAAAGAGCAGTAAACGATAAAAAATTAGCTTATTGAATCTTTAATCAGTATAAAAATGATAAAGCCTGGATTGAAAAATAATTTGATACTTGAAAATTCAAAATGTAATACTAGTCTATACTCACAGTTTGTAGACTTCAGAGGAATATAAATTAAGATGGACAAACATTCTCCATACAAGGGGGACCTCCCCAAAACCAGGATTTATTTATAAAAAATTGTGCATTTATTCTTACACATTTAAATTCCGGTCACCTTCAAAGTATTCTCCATTTGATGTAATACAGCTATCAAGACATTTTTTCCACTGCTCACAACAGTTTTTGAATTCGTCAATTTTAAATGAGTTTTAGTGATTCTGCCATTTTATCCTTTGACCTCTTCCATATCAGCAAAACATTTCCCTTTGAGGACTTTTTTCAACCAGGGAAATTAAAAGAGGTTGCTCAGGGTGAGATCAGGTGAATAGGGAGGGTGGGGCACAGGGTCATGCTGTTTTTGGTCAAACACTGCTACAGACTCAGCTTGGTATGGGGAGGTGCACTCGTAAATTATCCATTATAAAATGGGCAAACACTGTCTTCAAAAAAAATTAACTGAAGCCGAACACAGCCTCTCCCAACAAAGCCCACTGGTAGTACACTAATACAGATGAGTTCCTAGAACACTCACCTAGGGGGGAAGCCTGTACTACATGGGACCTACCCTTTAGAAGATAGTTATGGTTTTGGGGGGGTGCCCTCCTCATACACCTGGAAGCAATGTGGCAAAATGGTAACAACCCAAGACTGGGAATAACTGAGCATAGATTCAGTACCAGACCCACTCCCATTCATCAATGCCACACTGATCAGTTCTTGGTGTATAAGAATTCTCTCCACTATGGAGTTTTAAGTGTAAAGTAAGGATATCACTTAGAGTAATCTCCTGTTGTTTTAGTCTATGATTCTAATACCACATCAGTAAGGTACTGGTATTGGTGAAGTATTTTTTTATTTTTCACATTTTCAAAAGACTTTCTCTTTGTTCTGTTACCTAATTTCCAGCATTTTAAAATTTGCCAATGAATCAAGACTACATATATTGAAAAAAAATTGGGCAGTTGTATTTTACATTATTGTTTATTTTCCAATAAAATATATATTCCTTGCATGTTTATACTTATCTTTAGTCATAGAAGTAAACAACTTTGATTTAATACTTATATACCCTCTACCCCACTAACCACGTGTATAGTATATGTACATGGACATTAAATGTATAAATTTTTGCGTTAGTTCTGGGTCATTACCCTAGAATAAAATGCATTTGAATTTGCAAGTGTTGAAATATGCCAAATTGTTTTTCTTGTGCCCTTGTTTAATTCTTTTGGATGTTAAGGATTACACTATAATGATATTAACAATAAAATAAAGCCAAAGTCTATCCAGCACGTGAAACATGAAACACAACAACAACGCACATTAATTACAAACATCACATTGTCTTTAAAGGCTTCCAAAGGAAATAACCTGCATTCTGGCAGATAACTGAAGCGGAATGCTGGCATGGGGGAAACAGGTGATTTGTATGTGCGATCACTCAAACCGCAGCGCAGCCTCTTGTCCTAGCGTGCCAATTCTCACCAAACTGCCTAAAACGACACTCAGGGTTTCCTACCGCGGACAGTACTCTCAGTGCCAAAACTGCTAACCCCCCG